AGCAGGGGTTGTGCCCCCAGATCCACTCACCGCATCCTGGGCTGCCACGGCTCCCTGTGCCTGCCCCTCTTGGTGTGTGACACAGCCAAGGGGGAATTTTTCTGGTGGACTTTCATTTTTGCAGGGAAATTCCAAAGAGCTGAAATAACAGAGCAGAGAAACCCTCCAGGGCTCTGGAGGAGGAGGAAATGGGGCATTGTGCAGTGCAGAGGTCAGGGTTTGGGGCAGTGGGAGAGAGCCAAGTTCAAGACCTCCTACCTTGGGGACCATCCTGGTTTGAGGGTAATCCTGGGGTTTCCCACCTTTTCATGGCAAATCCTGGGGTTTTTTACCAACTGAGAAGAGGAAAAAAAATCAGCATTTCCCCCAGCCTCTCCCTGCAGCTGACATGAGGGGTGGCTGGGCTGCAGTGCTGTCCCTGAGCTCAGGCTAGCAGGGCTCCCCACCAGCATCAAGGGCTGAATTACTTACACCTTGTGGCAGTGCCGGTGATTTTTGTGGGATAACACAAGGAATATTTTGCAGAGGCAGCCCCTTTTTTACTTATGGGAATACCCAAGCGCACCTTGACCGACTCAGCGGGGATGGACCCGAACGTCCCTCAGCGGAGTGAGTGCCACACCAGCATGTGGGACAGCACGGGGAGGAGCCCTGGGGTGTCCCCAGGGCCATCCCCAGGTCCTGTGCCGATCCTGGCAGGAGCACGGAGCCCTTTTCCCCCGACCCTGTGCTATTTACTGCTTACTCTGCATCCTCGCCGCAGGGCACGGAGACTGCGAGGCCATATGAGACCGTGGCGATGAACATCTCGCCTGACCTACTTACAGCCCAGGCCCTGGGACTTTCTGGAATTCATCCTCTTGGAATAACACAACGTGTAATTTCAGGGCAGCAGAGATCCGTGCTGGGTGGGGATGTTGGCCCAGCCTCCGCCGTGTCCGTGATGCCGAAATTGCCGTGGCTGCCTCGGAGCAGATATCAATGCACAGGCTCCATTAGCGACTCTGATTGCCACTGATATGCTTCTCATTAGATCTCGGGCCTCACACATCATTATTTCATTTACAAGATGGTTTTTGTTTTCCCTTCTCTTAATTTGTGTTTTCCCCCCCGGCCCCACCAAAAAGAAAAAAGAATCTCATTAAAATGTCGCAATTGAGAGCAAATCGTGCCTTAACCCAACCTGCCAGGAAAAAACCCAATCACCCTGGAAAAAATCTCCTTGAAGTCTCCATGCAGGGGCAGGCAGAGGGGGAGAATAATAAAAAGACATCGAATTAGGAGGTGCCGAGGCTTGTTTGAGTGGAGAGGAAGGGACTGTGGCTGCTGACAGGATAGTAATGCAAATCCCCTTTGGAGCACCCAGAGAATCAACCTAAATGGATTAATGTGAGGACAGAGAAGAAATTACTTTAGTTGTTTCCCTAATTCGATTCAATTTATTTTTATACGGCATTTCCATGGCGAGCATCTCGCAGCTGCGTCACCCAGAAGAGGAATAATACAGAAAGGCTCTTCTGGCAGAAGTGCTCACCAGAACAGGCATCGCAGTGGAGGAAGGAATATGAGTGCTGGCCTTGAGGATTTGATTTGCCAAATCATCAGGAAATCACATGCCTTTTTTTTCTCTCTTTGTTTGTTCCCAGTTTTACTAATTTCCTCAGGCTTTCCTCAAACCGTCTCCATAAATACCGAGGCTGATTCTAGCCTCACACTGCTTTTATAGCACTGTAACTCTGAGCTCACACTGCTTTTACACTGGTGCAGCTCCACTTATTTCAACTGAGTAAATTCCTGATTTATGTTCATGGAAACGACAGCAGAAATAGGCCCATAGCTTTCCCTGGAGCAATGCCTGGCTCACACTGGGGTGGGGAAGAGGAAGATCAGGTCCCTTGCAATGCAAACGATGGAGAAAACTGACATTAAATTGAAAACTGACATTAAATTGCACCTGGACTCTTACTTTCAAAGAGACTTTTGCTTTCTTTTATAAAATTTCCTGTATTGTCAAAGTTAGAAAGGCATGGGAAGAGATCATCTGGGAGAGAGGGCTGGATGTGTGGTTGATGGAGGGTGGGTTGCTGTTCCCCTCCACTTTTTTGAGGAAAATCAGCACCCCTTCCCTGCCCCAGTGTCACCCATCTGTCCACAAACTCTCCCTTGCTCCCAGCTCTGTCCACCAAGAGCCCAGTGCTTTGGATTTAATCAAAATGTGTGCATCCTGCTAGCTTTAAAATATTTAAATGTAATCCTGGGGAATGAAATCCCTTTGGAGAGGGGTGGGAGAGGTCAGCCTGCAGCCCCGTACCCCTCGTTAGCGCCGAGCACACGCGGGGCCCTCTGCAAAGCCCCGCTAACAGAACTCTAATTAATTTATTTTTTAAGGCTACACACGAGGGAACTGATCAATGTTTCGCCCCGAGGTCTGCTGTGTTTGGAGCACGTATCACTGCCTTGATTTATTCCCTGTGATGTGGAAGGATGGAGCCAGCATCCCAATTCCTGCCTCCCGGGCTGGTCCTGTACCTTGCCAGGTGCAGTATCCTGAGTTAACTCCTTGGAGCAGCACCTGATCCCTGGTAGAGGATGGCTCCCTGGATGGACACCAGACATCATTTTTGGGTGTGATCTGGGTCCCTGAAGCCCCCCCAAACCCTGCTGGGTGAGATCAGGCTGTGGCACCCAAGGGACCCTGAGCTGGGTTGCCCACTTTGGCAGCTCTCACCTTCCCTTGGTTCTGCTCATGGGGAAAATCCAGGGACTGGTGTAATTTATGGCTGTGGCAGCCAGTGGTGTATCATGGATTTAAAGCGTTTTCCCCTCTATTTCTGTTCTAGGGACAGAGATGGAGAGATCAAGGCAGGCTGGCAAATAGCAGGGAAGTGACCTTTGCTGCTTAGGAAGTGATGGAAGGACACCTGTGCCCAGATGTGGGGCTGGTTTTGTGGCCAGGGGTCCCTCAGCTCCCACCAGCCCCTGTGCTGTGCCCTGAGGAGCCTTTTAAAGTGTGTGGTGGCCAAAGAGCAAATCCCTTGGGGTCAGAGGTGTCAGTCCCAGTTCTCCCAGTGCTTCAGCCCAGGTAAACACCAGTGTACATGGAAGGCTCAAGGTGCCTTTATCCACCCTCCTGCTGCTGTTCCAGTCCTCCAGCAGACCCCTGGCTGGGCAGGCTTTGGGTGTGTAAGGCCAGAAAGGGGAAGGAAGAGGATTCAGATGCCCCAGTCCTGCTTCTGGGTTCTGCCAGAACCCCCCTTAAGAAGCCCAGTGAGCATAAATTAGTGTGGCTGCATCGTTTTTGAAGGGCTGTGCTGATTTATTCTGGCTGAGGAGCCTTTGCCATGGTCCAGACTTCACACCCAGAGTGGCACGACTCCCCTGAGCCCCTCTCCTGCTGCTTTTTGCCCTCCTCCTGCTCCGTGTTCTCAGAGGAAGCACCAACAGGACCCTCCCAGCACACACGGCCTCAACAACAGCCCAGGGCTCTGCAGGGACCCTTTGCCCTCCCCAGACAGCCCCAGGGGGATGAGATGCCACAACCTGACATCAGCAGAGTAAAATATGGCCCTGGCAGTAATCTGAGAGAATGCAATGGTAATTTGGGGTGGGGGGAGGAGAGGAGGAGGCATTGCAAAAAGGAGGCATTGAAAGTACACTTCCTTTCAGTGCATTGCTGGGAAGACCATTAGGAAAACCACTAGATTATTTTTCACATTCTTCAGTGCAAAACTACTGCATTTTATGACCACTATCAATAACAGCTATCATATTACTAATGCTACAGTTGCCACATATATAATATTTAAATCACATTTGTGGCTGACAGAGACCTATGGATATTCTCGATCCCAACAGGCTATTACAGTTCATATCATGTCTGTCATATAAATATTATGAATCATTTCCCACTATCTTTATGGGGGCTACATTGACATCATCAGAAAGGCTCTGGGTACTGCTGGATACTGCATATTTATATACACCTTATGTATATGTATGTGAATGGAGGGAGATTTATACCAAAATCACGGGTAATAAATGCCCATGATAAAGCATATTATCTTCACACTTCATTTGCAAAGTGTTTTGTATGCAGGGACCAGGGGAAGGCCAGCAGAAGAGCTGTCTCTGAGTGACTGAATCACAATCCTTGAGCCCTGGTGTAAATCAGGTGGTGTCTGAGCCACGGTGAGCAGTGTGGGGTGAGCTTCAGCTGCTGCCCAGGCGCTGCCCGGGTTCCTGTGCTGCTCTGGCTCTCATCAGGTGAGGGTTTGGCTCCTGCCCCGCTGGCAGGATGGGTGATGCTTCCCGTGCTTTCCACTGAGAGCTGTAAATCTCACAGCTCATGGGCTGCGTTTCATCTTCCATCCCTTAATGCTTTCTTTGCTGCCTTCTTTGGCAGCCAGGCCCTGCTCTGGGTGATGAGCTGGAATAAAGAGGTCTCCAGGTGTTAAAAGAGGCAGGAGTAGACTCTCCATTTGTAAAGTCATTTTGCAAAGCAGTTCATTAAACCACTGTCCCTGCAAGCCAGGTGAGACATGCCAAACCCCATCCACCAGAAAAGCTCAAGGAGAGGATGAAACCTCCCTTAGGATTATTCAAGCTGGATCCAGACCAGAGCCCAGGTGCCCTGAGACCTTTTCCCCAAACCTGTTTTCAGAGCCTGAACACTCTATTAACACTTGTTCTATATGCAGAAACAGGCAAGAACAAATGCAGCTTCACAGTTTGGAGGTTTCTAATAAGCATTTAATGTCCAGTTTTGAAGCAGCTGAGAGTGCAGCTCTGCCTGTGCAAGGGAGGATTTGATCTAAGCAGTCCCCAAAAGAGGGGAGAATGCAACGTCTCTGCCTGTCCTTGGCGTGGGAATGCAGCTCTCCAGCAGATCAAATAAATCATGTGCATCTCACTTCATAAACAAGCATCAGCAGCCTGTTAAATGCTGCTGGGAAACAAAACAAGGCAGTTTGAATCTGCAGCACTGATAGAAGTGGCTTGTCCTGGAGCTTTGCTGGTTCCTGCATGCAGGGTCTCCCCGAGGAGCAGGAGCCCCTCTCAGCAGCTGGAGGGGTTTGGATGTGTCTGAGGGATGCTGAGAGTCTTGGCAAGGCTCTGTTCAGGGACTAGCTCCACTTCCAGGCTCCAGGATCTCTGACTTGTCTCCCAAAATCTTGTTGTGTCTCTCTCTCCATCCTAGAGGGAAGAAAAGCAGCCTGTGAGCTCCTCTTGCCCCTGAGAACACGAGAGTCCTGTCCTGAGCACCTACAGACCCAGGCAGGAAGCTGCTTAGGGGAGGAACTTTTCTCCTCTAATTCTGCTGCGAGACACAGGGAATCCTGCTCCTGGAACCTGCAGTGACTTTGGGAGATTGCTGGAGGTGGGGACAAGCCTGAGAGAGTCCCACCAATTCTGCACGAGTGGAAGGTGTCTTTCCTTGGCTGGATTTGGTTCTCACATCTCTGGAGTCCCACACTGCCTGCTGAGGGAGGGACTGTGTGGCCACAAGCCCCAGGTCAGTGGCCACAGCCATCCCTGCTCCCACACCATGGCACCTCTGTCACAGGCTGCATGTGCAGGTGGAGATGGAGCCCATGAGCTCCTTCTGTTCTGTTCCTCTCATATTTTGCATTTATTCTTTCTTTAATTTGTAACAAAATGCAGCCAGGCAGGAAAATAAATTCTTTTTTTTTTTTTTTTTCTAGCTGTGCAGGAGGACATGAAACAGCAGGGGAAGCACAGCAGGTTTTGCTTTTGTGTCCCGTCAGATAATTCAGGGTTATGGACAAGAAAAGCTGGAACACTTAGAAAAAATCACAGAGGCTGTGATTTCCAAATTCACTCACTGGGCTCATGTGCCAAGTTCTGAATGCGGTCCCAGCTCCCAGAAGATCTCAGTGCCTGTCTCCTCCTGAGGCCCACGTGCACCTGGATCCCTTTGCCCTAAAGGGATGGCAATGAGGTGGGAGTGGGGAATGGAAGGAGAAGCCTCTGCCTAATTGACTTGTTTATCTGATGAACAGAGTATCTATCTCTGCCAAATTCAGCCAGGAGTGAGTGCTGGGCCTGAGAGCTGCCCAGATGAGGCCAGAACCCCCCAAATTATCCCACCTTATCAGCTTGCCTTCCTCAGGAGCCCGGGCTAAAGGGTGGTGGCATCACCCAAGGGTGCAGAGGACAAGAGCAGCTATTTCTCAAGGCAGTTCTCCCAGCCAGCACAGGACCTTAAAGGATCCCTGCATCAACCAGATGTACAAGGCAATCAGCTGCCAAAATTATCTGAATGTGCCCCCCCCCACGATGACTGAAGTCCTTCCTGGGAAGTGCGAGGCTGAAGGTGAGGACAGCACTGGGCAGCTTATTAAATTAATAGTGCATTGAAGAATTCAGGGGAGGTGGAAGGGAGGGGAAAGGGAAAGAGAAGGTTTGTAACATCACAGAAATATCCTGGCTTACCTTCTGGCATCTTCAAGAGACTGGAAATGTGGGACTGCATCCAGCTGCCTTCTCTGGGGCAAAATTCCTTTGGCTTCTGTGGGAGGTTTTACTCAAATAAGGATTGCAGGATCAGACCTGTTATTGTCATTGCAATTAACATTTAGATCCACATCTAACATGAACTGTTACAGCCTGGTTAGGGAGAAATTTAATTTGCTCTAAACAGCTTTATGGGAGAGTAGCGTGAAATGTCCTGGTTATGGTAATTTCATGTGTTGGGAGTCTGCAAAGGTGGATTTGCAGCCCTGGCTCTGGTAACCCTGGGATCTGCTGCAGCCACAGAGCTGAGACTGCTTTGGGATGGGTGTTTGGGGCCAGATCCCCACCCCATGTGTTGGTGATGGACACACTCAAAGCCCTGAAGGCCTTGGGCACCCAGCTGGGTGGGGACAGGCACGTGAGAGCCCAGCTCTGCCCCAAGCTGTGTTTGCTCTTATCAGACAGATGAGCTTTAGTTTGTCTATCAGGAAACTAATTTCTACCTTTGAGCTGTCAGTCTGTACACAGACATCCATGAAATCTGTGATTTTTGCACTCTTAGATATTTTGGACCTGCTTTTTCTGACAACCCCCAACTTTATTTTATATCCTTACGTATTTCCTTTTTGCCCCCTTTTCTCCCAGGAGTTGATGTAACTCACTCTTAAAAACTGACTTGGAGATGAAACTTGGCATTTAAGGTCCCAGCCCAGGAGCAAATGAAGTTACCAGTTATAAACACACACCAAAATCTGTTTGGACATGCTGAAATTACAGAAGCAGAGGATTAAAAGGATCCAAGACGCTTTATTTTGTTTTAACTTCTACAGCTCCACCTGAGTGTCAGTTTGCAGCCGCTTGCCTGACACAAGATGGGTCCTTTTTGGTGTTTTTATTTTTCAGGTGGATTGCAATGGATTTGAATTTTTTATTCTAAAGCAAATGGACTGTGATGCATCTGGTGAAGAGGTCCCAAACTGGGATCCTGGGCTGCTGCCAGCTGTGTACCCCTCATCCAACCATCCCCATGTGGGTCTGCCCTGCAGGAAGGACAGAGTCTCGTGTTCTCCAGCAGAAGAGCTGTAGGAGAAATGCAGGTTTTGGGGCCTTTCCAGAGTCTCTCCTGCCTGGCTCGGGATCCCACAGTGACAGGCAGGAGATGGAGCGATAAGGGCACGCAGGGATATGGCGATGGCAGATAAGAGGCCTCACTTTTCCAGGAGGAGCTGCTCGCTTGCTAATATTTATGGCACGAGACACTTTGCCAATTAAAGAATAAATCAGGGCAGATAAGGCTGGGGAGCGTTCCACAGATCTGCCACACAGGGAGGTGATGGCAGAGCGTCTGGGACAACCCTGATTGTCCCAGCTCCTTCGATTTCCCCCGATCCACTCACTGCAGGAGAGCTGGGCTCTACCTGTGCCAGCAGAACCCCCCAGCAGCTGTCCCTGGTGTCCCTCCAGCCCCGCTGAGTGCCCAGCAGTTGCTCCCCAGCGTGTGTGAGCAGCTGCAGCGTGGCCCCAGCCTGTTTGTTATGCATGTTACTGCCGTGGAAAGCGAGGGTCGATACGATGTTTAATATGCTTCATGCATAGTGGAGTCGCTCTGGTCCATCAAGCCACTAATACACATTCTTACAGGACTGAGTATCATTTATTAAAGCTAGAGGCCTGCCTGGGAAGGGGGGCCGGGGCTCTGGGAAGCAGCCAGCGGTGTGCTGGGGTGGTACCGGCGGTGCTGAGGAGGTGAGAGGAGCTGCACACACACACACACACACACACACACACACACACAGAGAGTTATTTGTTGTGCCTCACGGATGGGAAATGAAATGAATCGTGCTTTGAGTGCTGCCCGCCGTGTGACACAGCCCGGGGACAGGCAGAGGGGCTCGCTGGCTGCTCCGGGCTGGGCACAGCTGGCATTGCTCAGCATCACTCCAGCACCCTCTCTTCTTCCCCCTCCCGAGGCTGCCACTGCACGGCTACACGTACCTCGGTTTTTTCTCTCTTTCCCCTATTTTTTTCTCTTTCCCCCTTCTTTCCTCACCTTTTCCCCCTTCTTTCTCTTTCCCCCTTCCCTTTCTGCTCTTCCCCATCTTTTTTACTCTCCTTTTCCTTCTCCCTTTTTCCTTCTTTTTCTGCACTTCTTTCCTTCTCTTTCCCCTCTCATTTTTTCCCCTCCCTCCCTCCCTTCTCTCCTTTCCTCTCTCCCCATTCTCCTCTCCTCATCTTCCCCCCCTTCCTCCCCATCTCTAATTACCCCTCCTTGCCCCCTCCTTTTCCCCCCATCTTTTCCCCTTTTCCTCCTCCCTTTCGTTTTCTCCTTTTTTTTTATTTTTCCCCGTCTCTCCCCACTCTATTTTCTTCCCCTTTCCTCATCACTTCAAGAAAAAAAACAACAACAACAACAACAACAAAAAAAACCAAATAAAACCATCAAACACCACCCCACCACCAACCACCAGCGCAGCGCTCTCCGCGGGCCGGCGGGGCGGGCGCGGGGCGGCGCTGCTCGGCTCGGCTCGGGCGGGCTCGGGAGGGTTCGGCACGGCTCGGGCACGGCTCGGCTCGGCTCGGGCGGGCTCGGTACGGCTCGGCTCGGCTCGGCTGGGCTCGGCTCGGCGCTGCCGCTCCCCTGCGCGGGCCCCGGCGCGGAGCCGGGCGCGCCCGGCGGAGCCGAGCGGCGGAGTTACATTGTTGGAGTTTGCCACAACTCCGCGGCCTCGGCTGCGCGGGGCCGCCGCTGCGGGGCCGCAGCTTCCCCGCTGCTGCCTCCTCCTCCTCCCTTCCTCCCTCCTCCTCCTCCTCCTCCCCGTGGGTGTTTTTTTTTTTCTCCCCTCCTCCCCTCTCCCCCCGCGCTGATTTCCCTCCCCTCCGCCCGCCCTGCCTGTGTGTTTTCGCCGCCGCTCTCGCCGAGCCCCTTGGCATGAGTTAAGCACCAGCCATGGACACCAAACACTTCCTGCCGCTGGGTGAGTTCTGTTCCGAGAGATTCTCCGTTCCTACCGCGGGGGGTGGGGGGTGCTTCGGGACGATAAAATCAGCGGCTGTCCTGCCGCCTTCCCCCCACCGCGGCCCCGCTGCCCCTTCCAGCAGCGCGCACCGGGGGCGGCGGGCGGGGGATGCGCTCGCCCCTTCCCCGGGGAGCGCCGCGGCGAGCGCGGGGCGGGCGGGCCGGCCCCGGCCCCCGGCCCCTGCCTTGGAGTTGGTATTTTTGTTTTGGTTTGCTGTTGTTTTTTCCGTGGCGCAGCCCTGGGGACGGCGGGCCCCGGGCGGGGAGCCGAGCCGAGCCGGGCTGGGCCGGACCGAGCCCCGCCGGGCCGGTCGGGCAGGGGCCCCAGCGGCGCTTTGGAACGGGGCAGCGGCAGCCGGCAGAGCCCCCTCCCCGCCCGGGGCCGGCGCTGCTCGGGGCCCGGCAGCGCGCAGCCTGTGCTTCCCCCTATTGCCTTCACCCTCGGTTCATTTTTTTTCTTTAATTTTTGACGGCTCGGCTCCTTTTTTTTTTTTTTTTTTTTTTTTGTTTTGTTTTGTTTTGTTTTGTTTTGTTTTCCCTCTCCCCGCGGCATCCGGGGCGCGCAGCCGGGCAGGGGAAAGCAGCGGCCCCATCGCCGGCTCCCAGACCCGCCGCTCTCGGGACCCTTCTGCCGTTCTGTTCTTATTTTACAACCACCCCCGTCCCCCCCTCCGCCCGTTTTAGCTGCGTTTTAAAACCTATTTCCAGCCGGAGTTTGCCATCCTTTCGGTGACTGAGTCAAGTCCTGGCTTGTAAGGGCGAATGCCTCCTGCGTCTCGCTTCCAGGAGAAGTGATATTGCAGAGCTCAGTGCTCGGGGTGGGGGGAAGAAAAGTTTGAGCGAAGTCGCCTGGCGCCAAGTCCGGGCGAGGGGAAAGAGGGGCGAGTGCTGCCATCCCTGTCCCCGCTCAGCCCGGTGGCTCCGAGCCTCCGGCCGAGCGAGCCACGGCCAGCGAGACCATCCCTTCTGCCTTCTCTGAGCAGGCTTTAAATCTCTGCTCAGCCTCTCCAGCCTGCGGTGGTGTGTTTTGTTTGTTTCTTTCTCTCTCTTATTTTTTCTTCGTTTTTTTTTTTTTTTTCTTGCTTGTTTTGTTTACAAATTGCAATTTCAGTTGTTCCTTTCTAAGAGCAGAATAAATACAAGCAACCATCACAAGGTCGGCCCGCTGAGAGGGTTTCCAGGGCTGTGGTGGTCTGGGAGCTTTGGCAGGGAGACCCTGGCCCTGTGGGCTGGCAGAGGTGTAGGTGGCATCTCAGTGCCCCCAAAAATCCCAGTTTCACAGTGCCCCTCGTTGGCTGGGCTGGGAGGTGGGAGATGCTGCTGGGGCCAAAAGCATCTCACCTGCAGTGTGTCCCGGAGCAGGTCCTGATTCCAAATCGAGCCAGCTTCTTTTGGTTGGGTCCAGTGCAGCTGTTTGGGCATCCCAGCAGAAAATGCCTCTCTTGCCTCACTGGAGTGGTTTAACCTTAGGGGTGGCTTTTTGGGGGATTCACATTTCCTTGGATGCTCTTGTGGAAGACAATGTAAATCTCTGTTGATCTGGGCAGGCTCAGGCCTCTGTGCACTTTAACTGTGTTTTCTGTCAGTCCTGAACTCTCCTGTTATGCTGTAAATGCTAAAAAAATATGTTGTGTTATTAGTCAGGTTGGTTTGAGGGGGTAGGAGGGGGAGAGTCTGTGTGACTGCTGACTCGGGGAAGGGTTTTCA